CAAAGAGCCACGATACTCAACTATAAGTTGAGGGCATGATCATGGACAAATGCTGTCATGATCCAAAAGTAAGTAACGACGAGACTAGGACCCTGCTGGAGCTAGGAAGATTAACCTGGCCTGAGGACTGCGAAATGTATAGTGAGATGTTCTCAGGAAGAACCAAACTAAATTTATATCTCTTACTGTGCTCATACAGAAAGACATTGCTAGAAATATTAGAAGTAGATTTATTACAACTATTTAAGTAGATTACTAACTGAAGGAAGAACACACCCTTGTTGGGATCCCACCCTTGGGAGGATCTCCTAGTAATCTGAAGTAATCTCTGTAGATGAGATTTTATCCTTGAGTTAATCTCCTGGAGGAGTGGTCTTACCTCTCTTTGTTGATTCGTCAGTATTCAACCCACCTTTATGTCACCGCCTTATGTGACTGCTATATAAACTAAGACGTAAGCTCAGAAGGGGGTCAGAAGTGAGAGAGTTCGGGCTCCAGAGATCCAGAGTCAGAGCCAGAAGGAGAGAGCTTCCAAGGCTGGGGCCCAGGAGAGAAGGAGGCAGAGAAAGACAGGAGTGAAGAGGATTGGAATAAACTACTATTGATATAGACTGGCCTGGCCCCCGTTTTTTCTTCCATCTGCCCTTGGCCAACAGCCGTTCCGATCCAGGCCACACACAGTGGCTCAAGAGCACCGAACGCAGGCAGTGAAACAGTGCCGTCCAGTGAGCCCGTGAACACACAACCTTCGGCGTGATAAGATTTTACACCTCATGGTGTCTCATTAATAAAAATTAAAAAAAATAGAAAAATAATCACTGAGCAATAAAAATAAAAAAAAAAAGTGCTGCTTGGGGCCAGGACAGGGCTCAAGGGGCAAACAGGACACGTGCTTAGCATGTTCCAGGTCTAAGCATGTTCTTCAATCCCAGCACCACATGCTCCTCCCCTCCCCAGATGGCCCCCAGCACCCACCAAAGAAGTTCCACCGGGAGTAGCCCCAGGCCTTGAAGCACTGTGCGCCCCCCCACCCCCAGCAAAAAAAAAAAAAGTGCTGGAGTGAGGGTATAGCAAGCAGAGAGGGCATCTGCCTTGCACGCGGCTAACCCGGGTTCAATCCCTAGCACCCCAAATGGTGCCCTGAACATTGCCAGACGTGATTCCTGCATGCAGAGCCAGGAGAAACCCCTGAGCGTTGCCAAGAAGTGAGTCTTTGACCTGTTTTTCCCTTCTTCCCTCTCCCCTGTTATGTTGTTGTGATGAGGGTGCAGGCAACCTGGCATGGTGCTGTCTGCGGGTTGCTGAGCTGCTGGTGTGTGTGTTGTGAAATCTTTGCATGCAGAAGGTTGTGTGTTTGCGGGCTCTCTGGATGGCTCTATCTCACTGCCCGAGTTTGGTGCTCTTGAGCCACTGTGTGTGGTCTGGATTGGGAAGGCTGTTGGCCAAGGGCAGACAAAGGAAGAAACGAGGGCCAGGCTGGTTGATATCAATTGTAGTTTATTCCAATCCTCTTCACTCCTGTTTCTCCTCTGCCTCCTTCTCTCCTGGGCCCCAATCTGGAACCCTTTCTCCTTCTGGCTCTGACTCTGGATCTCTGGAGCCCGAGCTCTCTCACTTCTGACTCTGCTCTCCGAGCTTACAGTCTTAGTGTATATAGCAATCACGTAAGGCGGTGACACAAAGGTGGGTTGAACATCGACAAATCAACAACGAGAGGTAAAACCACTCCTCCAAGAGATTAACTCAAGGATAAAATCTCATCTAAAGAGGTTACTCCTTATTACTAGGAGTCCCGCTCAAGGGTGGGATCCCAAGGAGGGTGTGTTCTTTCCTCAGCTAGTAATCTACTTAAATAATTGTAGTAAATCTACTTCTAATATTTCTAGCAATGTCATTCTGTGTGAGCACAGCAAGAGATATAAACATCTCACTATACATTCCACAGTCCTCAGGCCAGGTTAGTCTTCCTAGCCCCAGCAGGGTCTTAGTCTCATCGTTACTTACTTTTGGATCATGAGAGCATTTGTCCATGATCATGCCCTCAACTTATAGTTGAGTATTGTGGTACTTTGGCCTGGCCCATTTCGATGCCCTGGGTCCATTCAGTCCCACGCTGGGACTCACTGAGGCATTGAGTCAGCAACCCTCAGACAGCACCATGCCAGGTTGCCTGCACCCTCATCGCAACAACATAATAGGGGAGAGGGAAGAAGGGAAAAACAGGTCAAAGACTCACTTCCTGGCGATGCTCAGGTGTTTCTCCTGGCTCTGCATGCAGGAATCACTTTTGGCAGTATTCTAAGTGCTGTGGGATGGTTGGTTCCCCAGGCTTCGGGGTACACTTTGCAGCTCCAGTTCCTAAATACCCCACAGGGCAACTGAGTCAAGAAAGCAGATGCCCAGGAATAAATATTATTGGAGTCAATCAACTCCCAAGTTACAAAGCATAATATTAACTGTCTTCCTGTGTCCACACAGAAAGTTTAAGGTAAACTATTCAAAAGACATAAGGAGAGGAGAAAGGCAATATTAACTTATAATACAAGTTCAGTGCCCTGGATGGGATGGGTGTGACCTGATAAACGTAAGCTACCCAAGGAAGGACAAAACAGTGTCATCCTACAGTGTGTGTGTGTGTGTGTGTGTGTGTGTGTGTGTGTGTGTGTGTGCACTGCTTGTCTATTCAGTTGCGGTGCTTGCCAGAGGCCACAGTTGTAATTGTGGTGTTGTGAGCAACAGGCTGCAGTGCACTCGGGCAGACAGGGTTCAAGGTGCCTGGGCTCTTGGATGGAAGATGGGCAGGCACAGCGGGGGCAGGAGGGCACCAAGGCTCAAGCTCATGGCCTCACCCCTGCCAGTATGGCAGGATACTTTGGAACTGGGGCTGGAAAGTGTGCCCTGAAGCCTGGGGAACCGTCCCACAGCACTTAGAGCACTGGCAATAATCTCCCTGGTTTATACGAGATTGTCAGAGAAGGAACAAGAATGACGAATTGAACAGCTGGGAACCTGAAGCCATGATTGTGACCATCACAGAGATTAAGAACATCAACCCAAGTCTGGACACCACATAAAGCAGAGGTTCTCATATTTACTTGGCCTACTGTCCACTTGTCAGAAAGAAAAAATAAAGAGCCCCCTGGACATCTCCCTTCTTTAGGACAGACACTTAACCAGATGGCCCCATGCAACACAAACACCCTCCCCGCTGTAGTTTCTCCAGCCGAGTTTTACATTTGTGGCGGCTCTTTTCACCCATGTCTCCCACCGTTCCAGCACTCCCAGGGGATGGCACTGGCCATCCTGGGAAACAACGACAACAGATCAACCGAAATGGAAAACTTCAGAGCACCAGCAGGAAATGGCACCAATGTCTTCAATGCTAACCAGTTCTTCGGGCTGAGTTGACTGAAAGGGAGAGGTTACAAACCAGGAGACGGCAGGCTCAGAGTGGAGTCACTCGTGCTGGGCCCCATGTCATGAAGTCAAAACTTTTAACTTCTACGAGACTCTCAGTTCCAACCCCTCCCAGGAGTGATAACTTAAGCCAGTAAGTATATTTTCCTGCTCAGCACTGGGCAGGGCCCTCTGGCCTTCCCTTAAGTGATGGTAATTAAGCCAGAAACTACCACTTTCTTTTGCTAACAACGCCTTGTCCTCAGCCTCTGTGTGCTATAAAACAAACAAAAACCTACTGTTTTCGTACAATCCCAAAGGTATCTTTCTGCTTCTTTGCGGGATGCTGCCCGATTCATAAGAAGTCTTACATTTTGGGCCACACTTAGGTGCTCAGGGGCCATTCCCAGCACTGTGCTCAGGAGTCATCCCTGGCAGTGCTGAGATGGGTCAGGACTGTACTATTCCACTGGCCTCTTAATGCAAGGTTGGCACTCAGCCCGCTGGGCTATCTCTAAGGCCCCTCAAGAATCACTAAAGCAATCTTCAGTTCTCAGGATGTCTTGCCTTTTCTCTTTTCTTTTTTCTTGCCACACTTGGCTGTTCTCAGGAATCAGTCCTGGAGGGCTCAAGGGGGCATATATGGTGCCAGGCACTTAACCAGGTGGCCCCATGCAGCACAAACACCCTCCCTGCTGTACTGTTTGTCCAGCCGAGTTTCACTTTCAAGAGAAAAAGGGCAGCCCCCAAAGTACGAGAGATGAAGAGTGGCAACAGAGGAGCCCACTGTGCTTTGTGCCGCGGTGGGCCTGCAGTGGCTCTGGAGCTCTGCGTGCATATCCCCTGCAGCCCACCCCTCACACGGGCTGGTGCAGATCCCCGTGACCAAGGGCTGGGCAGGGCAACTGCTCTATCCCGCCTGCTTCCTGAGACTTCACCTTCTAGGGTGACCGGGCCAGCTGACTGCCTCAGCCCCCGACGTGATGCCCACGAGCTCCTGCCCATCACCCACCCCCCGCCCCCTCCACCACCACACAGAACAAACTGAGTCGGGGGGCAAGGGCGGGCCTCCACGTTTTATTGGGGATACAGCAGAAGCAGAGGCGGGAAGCAGAGAAGCCGTGTTGAAACGACAGATAAATTAACCGCAGTGCGGGGCTGGGGGGGGGGGGGGATGGGGATTGGGCCAGGCGCTTTCATATAAAAAAAATCAAGAGGACAGACGGACGACCCCCAGAGACCTGGGGTGGGCGGGGCAGCACCATCCAGACAGGAGGGGGACTGGGGCACACGGAGAAGGCAACTTGGCCCCTCTCCCCGAAACTCCAGCACGGGCCTCTGGACTGGCCCTGTGCGGCTCGGGGTCGGGAACAGGGGGGCACAGAGAGGGCGCGGCTGTATGCAGGACGCCCAGCACCTCGAGACGGCTCAGCCTGGGGGGAAGAGCCGGGCTCTGGGGAGAAGGGGCCGAGGGGGGCCCGTCCCTGAGCTGAGACCTCTGACCTCCACAGCAGCAGCCCCAAGAGGGGGCGGGACCCCTCGCCCTCACCTCCACCTGCCTTCGTGGTCCCTTGGGTCGGGGCCGGGAGCTGACCGAGCCTGCGGTTCCCGAGGGTGGTGGCGGGCACAGCTGCTAGCCCTGACTCCCGCAGGACGAGAGCGAGTCGTAGAGCGAGTCACTGAGGGATTCCGAGGTCTCCAGCCCTGGGGGCCCCCCGCTGGCCACTCTGCCTTCCTCGCCCATGTCAGAGGTGCTGGGGGTGCGGCTGCCCCCAAACACTGGGCCCTGAGGCGTGGGGGCTGGGCGGCTGGACTCCAGGCTCCGCTTCCGGTCCACGGGCAAGGCCTGCAAAAGGGGGTGGGGGGATGCTGGGAAGGAAGGTCCCCACCCAGGGCCCACGAGAGAGACAGGCCGGCTGCAGAGGATGAGGTGGGCAGGGCACCGTCTGCTGAGGCTCCGGGAAGGGGCGGGCTGACCATCACTCCCCCCGGCAGAGCCCCGGCTATACCAACCCCCCAGTCCTTTGGCCGTCCCCTGTGGCTGTGCTCACCATGGGGGTCCTGGGCAGTCCCTCCAGTTGTCGGGGCGGGCAAAGGAAAGGGTCGGAGGACCCGCCCGCTGCCCTGGCGTTGGGGAAGGTCCAGTTCTTGGTCAGCTGCACCGGCGGTGGAGGGCCCGGCTCTTCACAGGGATCTGCTTGGGGAGAGGCGGAGGGTGGGTGGAGAGCGGGGCGGGGGCGCGGCCAGGGACGACCCCCCATGGCGGGGGCACTCACCGTGGGGGCAGGCCTGGTGTCCGTGGTGGTGGCCGGGGGCGCCGGCGAGCAGCACGGGGAAGGCGGGCACGCTGGGGTGACGCCCGCTCCCGCTCACCAGCAGCTCCTCCAGGCCGGGCACCTCGCGCTCCAGTGTGTGCGCCCGGCGGGGGACTTTGGTGAGGGCAGGGGGCCGGGAGGGGGGCACCCCGGGTGGGGGATCCAAACGCGCTGGTTTGGACTTGGGGAGATTCTTGCTGGGCGTGCCGCCGCCGCCGCCGTGGTCTGGGGGCGGGAAGGTCCCGATGCCGCTGTCCAGGGTTCGAGTCAAGGAGCCGCAGGCTGGGAGGGGAGGGGTGCAGGGAGCTGCGGGCAGGCCCAACCCGCACCCTTCCCGCCTGGCCCATACCCGCACCTTCCACCCTGCGCCCTCCCAGGCCTGGGGACGGGGAGGCAGAGCAGGTGCTGCTTCCTGGTCAGGGGTGCTACCCCCGGTGCCTAGCTGGGGTTTGGCATCAAGAGGGCTCTCAAGGCAAGACACCTGGGTGATGCTGGGAGGGACAGAGGGGCACCCCGCCCTCGCACCCACCCGCTGACCTGTGAAGTGCGAGGTGGGCACTGGCTCGGCCAGGCTGTCCTCCGAGGGCACCTCCTCCCGCCGGCCCGGCTCGCTGCTTGGCTGCGAGGGCAAAGGAGACTCAGTCCCTTTCTGGGCGCCGCAGACTCCGCCCCCGCCCCGGCCCCGGCACCTACCTTCCCAGGAGGTTTTCCACAGCCCTGAAGGGGCCCCACCAGGCCATTTCGGGGCCCACAGGCTGGCCACGGGCTCTTGGGGTCGGAAGACAGCGGCTGGAAATCACCGTAGTCAGCTTTGGGCTCTCGCCAGCTCTTGGGTGGCAGCTCCTCGCCCTCCACCCTAGGGGGCAGCGGTGCAGACGGGTGTGAGGGAGGCCTGGCTCCTCCAAGGGTGCTGGGCCTAGGGAGGGACACCTATCCTTGGCGGCTGCCCATCAGCCCTCCTGCCGCTGGGCACAAGCAGGGACCTGGAGGACCGCAGGGGCGCGGAAGATGCCGGGTGGGGAGACCCTCTGTCTGCGGGCCTCTCAACAGTGCGTGGGCCGAGGTGACCCATCAGCCCCACGCCTGCCTGCCCCGATGAACCCCTTTATGTCTCCCGTTGCCCAGAGAGAGCAACCCCAAGACGGGACGGTTCCTCCTCCCAGCCACAGCGCCCGGCAGAGGAAGGAAGGGCTGGTTTCGCCGAGATTGGCATCTGGACTGTGTGGACACGGGGGCTGCCCCAGCGGATGCGGGGACGGTCCAGGGAAATGCCCTCGGTCACCTCTCAAGAGAAACTGGGTCTTGGGGCCCGAGTCTATTCCCCAAGACTCAGCCTGGGGGGAAGCTGACAAAGCAGACATCAGACAGGGCCAAGGCGAGCTGGAGGCCCACACAGGTTCTGGGTTCTGCCGAGGCCAAGTTGGGGAGGCCTGGGCGCCACGGACTGAACTCTGGGGGGTCGGCTGCAGGGGTGCCCGGAGGTCTGTGCGCTCACCTGTTGAGCAGCTGCTGCATGAAGGTGTCGGCACCCTGGTACATGCTGGCCAGCTGGCCCGGCACCGGGCCCTGGGTGTTGGCGGGTGCCCCGGGCCGCGGCCGCGCCCGGCTACTCAGGTAAGCCTTCTCCTCCTCCAGCGCCCGGCGCAGGTCTTCCGCCTTGGCCATCAGCTTCGAGATGTTGAGGCTTTCGGCCTCCAGCTTCCGGGCTTCCGCCTTGCCCTCCTTCCGAAGCGGGGACCCCCCACCGGCCCCTTCCTTGCTCTTGGTGGTCTCCGTGCGGCGGTTCAGCGCGGGCAGTTTGCTCTTCCTCAGACCGAACCAGCTGGCGATGCTGCTGGCGTTGCGGTGCTTGGGCTCGGGGGCCGGCGCCCTGTCCTGGCCCTGGAGCCGCAGCACGTTCTCCTCGATGCCCTTCATCACCTTCTCCTCGATGGCCGAGTGGGGGGCGCGCCCCTCAGGGCCCTGGCTCGGGTCAGCCGGGCCCGGGGCTGGGGAGGGGGGCTGGGCTGTGGGGCTGCCACCGTCGGTCCAGGGTGGGCCCTTGCCCTTGTCGGGCCTCGGGGCTTCCTTGGTGGCGGCTGGAGAGGCCACGGGCCGGGGGGTCACCTTGGTGGGTGACTTAGAAGGCAGCTTCGTGGGGCTGCCGTGGGGGCTCTTGCTGGGCTTGCCCATGCTGGGGGCAGAGGTTGGCACTTTGGCAGGGATGCGGGGTACCTGGGGGCACAGGGCCCCTGCCAGCCGGCTCTTGGCCAGCTCCACTTTGGTGAGGCAGCTCCTTGGTGAGACGGGCTCCAGGTCCACGCGAGCCCCCATGGAGTGGGAGGAGTAGACGCGGGCCCCAGACTCTGCCAGGAGCCCCAGTTCCTGCTGCTTCAGGCTGTTCGTGCCCAAGGCCACTGCCCCCCGCAGGGACCCCCTGGCTTCTGGCTGCTCGGGGGGGCGGGGCGCGGGGCCCAGGGCGTCCCCAGCGCTCTCCCCCGACCTCCCCGGCCCCCGGCCCTTCTCGGAGCCGGGCCTGGCGGGCACCCCGTTCTTCTCTGGGCCCTGGGGCCCCTCGGGGCCAGCCTTCAGCTTCCCCAGCACGGTCAGTCTGTCCTGCAGGGGCGTGAGGCCAGTGTTCGGGGGCCGCCGCCCTGCCCCCTGGCTGGGCTTCTTGGAGGAGCTGCCCGGGGTCCTGCGGCCGGGATGGGGGGACTCCGAGCCTGTCTTGTCCAAGTTCTTCTCCTGGGTGCCCCCATAGGGGCAAGCCTCTGGGAGGCAGGGGCTAGGGGGGACCCCAGGGCTCCTGAGGACCTCAGGAGTCTGGGGCACGTCCAGAGTGAGGGGTGGGTAGGCGGGCGCCTGCAGCGGGGATGGAGGCGGCTCTGGGGAAGGCCCCCGAAAAGTGCTCCGGGAAAGGTCCAGGATGTTCTCGTAGCAGGCAGGCACGCTGCCGGAGGGCCCCGGGGACAGCGCTGTGGACAGGGCCGGCGGGGGCGGTCTGAGCAGGCCAGGGTCGGGCGAGGTGGCACAGGGTGGGGGGCTGCCCGGCAGGCCCTGGGGTCCCTCTGGAGACAGCTCTCCGCCACCCAGGCCTCTGCGCGCCAGCAGAGGGGAGGGGCTGCCGTCGGAGCCACTATTCCGACAGGGGATTCGGGAGTTCCGGGGCAGCTGGGGGCTGAGCTGCGGGCCTGCCGGGCTGGGGGTCTTTTCCGAAGCTGGAGGCAACTTTAGGAACTTGAGACCTCTGGCGGGAGAGGGCAGCAGGGGCCCCTGGCCTTCCGCAGGAGAAGGGGGGCCGATTTGGAGCTTGCTTTTCACCTGAGATGAGGAGTGGGGGTGGCCGGGCCGCGCGCCGGGGGGCGCGTCGCCTGCACCCATGAACATGCTGAGGAAGGGGAGGGGCCCCGGGCCCTCTGAGGTAGCACCAAAGCCCGGCCTGTGGGCCTCTGCGGCCCCCCCGGCCCAGGATGACTTGGGGCGGCCTTTGGACTTGGACGGCTGGTGGGGGCCCTGGTCCGGGGAGGACGGCTGCCCAGGGCCCGCAGCCCCCACCAGGAAGGCCTGCAGGTAGGACTCCGTGTCCTCCAGCATCTGGCCCAGGTTCAGCTGCTTGCGCGCCAGGGCCCCGAGCAGGGTGTCAGGGCTAGGGGCCTCGTTGGGGTCCCCCGCCTCGTCAGAAGAGGACGAGGAGCTGCTGCCCCCGGCACAGGGGGGACCACAGCTGGCACCCTGGGCCTGCGGGACGCCCCTGCCGGGGCTCCAGGGCCGCGCGGGCCCCTCCTCCTCGCCCACACCCCCCAGGAGGCGCTCCCAGGGAAGCAGGCCCCCCAGGCCGCCAGGGCCCAGGAGCAGGTAGGGGGCCCAGGGCGCTGGCTCCGGCTGCGGGGGGCCACACAGCTCCCCGTTGATGGGCTCTGGGGAGCCCGGAGCCTCGCCTGGAGGCCGCCAGGGCGGGGTGGGCGAGCACAGGAGCAAGGGGTCCGTCTCCTCCAGGGCCCGCAGCACCTCCAAGATCTGCGCTTTCTTCCGCAGGAACGGGGAGAGGGCGTCCAGCGCTGGCGGCGGGGCGGGTGGCGGGCCGGGGCCTCCCGCCCGCAGCTGCTGCTCCCAGCACACCTTGGGGAAGAAGGTGGGTGCGGGAGAACTGACGGGGGCTGGGGGGACCCCGAGGTGAGCGGAATGGCACTGGCCTCTTTCTCTCTGGGTCCCTGGTAGGAGTTGGCGGTGCCCAGACAGGAAGGCCGTGTCCTCCAGGACCACCGAACAATGGGCAGCCCCCCAACTCTTTCTTCTGGCATATCTGGGCTGGGTGGGCATGCCGCCCCTCCCCCCCGCCAAGGCTGACCCTCCACACCCTCACACCCTGCTCCTGCCCCAGTTCTTAGGCTGTAGAGAACGTTCTCCAGAATCAAGCACTGGGATTAAGGCATCCGCTCTCTGTGCGGCTGACCCCCATTACTGCACGGCCCCTCAAGCCCCACCGGGTGTGGTCCCAATGACTCCCTCCCCCCGAAAAATGGGGAGAAGTGAAGAAGAGAGAGGCGAAGTGAGCCTGTGTGTGGTCAGCTGCAAGAGCAAGGCACGCTCAGGGCAGAGCAGACACGTTCTCTGCGCCCTCCCGTTTCCAGCCTTGCCCCTTCTCGGGTGCAGTGGATGGGACGGACCTTCTGCGGGTTCCTCAATCACCGAGCTCCCGTGTCACCCGCCCAGGGGCTGCTGAGGAGGTTTGACCTCAGCAGAGCAGGGAAGTGAAGGTGGTGCCCGGCCCCAGGCGAGCCCAGCTGGGATGAGGGCGCAGCTTTTCCTGGTGCCGTGCCCACAGCCGAGAGCCTCCACTTCCAGCCTGGACATGAATGGGGCCAGGAAGCAGACGACCCCTCCCCCCGCCCCCGCCCGGAGCACTGAGGCTGGATACCGCAAGGCCCGCTCTCCTACCTCTCTCTGTCCAGCACAGCGCCCCAGAGGCAGCAGGGTGGCCGGTCCCTCGGTGCTCAGGGCGGGAGAGGCGGGGGCCTCTGACGGCGGCTGAGGTGGGGTCAGTGGGATCTGCAGGACACAGGCGGCAGGGTGTTCACACACGTCCAACTCCTCACAAAGCCAGACCTTCCCACAAGGGACGGGAGAAGTTCTTTCAAGTGCTCCTCCAGGGCATCTCCTGGCCCCAGGCACAGTCTCCCACTGGACAGAGGAGCAGGGGAGACCCAGGAGCCGCAGCACAGGCCGCCAGGAGATTGCAGAAAGGGGGGGCCCAGCTCTGAGGGCAGCGGAGGCCCAAATGGGGTGCCTGTCTGCCCTCCAGTTCCCACTTCCCTGGGGGAGACTGAGCTGCAGCCCCATCTGTGGGGGCTGCCTCCGTCCCCACCCACGACCCCCAGATCACGGGGATGGCTGAAACCAGCAGAGAGGCCCTGGGTTCTGGGGCCTAGGAAAGAGGGGTCTCGTTTCTGCCCCCCTAATTGTTTTCATGTAGAACATCTGCTCTGAGGATGATGGAAAAGGTATTTTTACTTAATCAGGCACTTCTCGGTCCCAGAGAAAGTCCTTTCTTCCCCAAAGCATCTGACTAGGTACTACACGGCCGTAACGCTTCCCTGTTTCTCATCCTCCAATATTTCCTTCGTGCTTTCTAGCTTCTGAATGTTTATTAATGGAAGGTTTTATTTGTGTTTTGGTTCAGGGCACACCTGCAGGTGCTTAGGGGTTACTTTTGGAGCTTGGCTAGGGGTTTGCTACTGGAAGTGCTTGGAGGGACCGTGTGGTGGCAGGATTGAACCTGAGTCTCTGGCAGACAAAGCCTGTACACAAGGTCTCTGAGCAATGTCCCTGGTTTATTTTGGGAGCCTCCTGGGCAGTGCTCAGTGTTCCTGGGGTACACTCCCAGTGAAACTTGGTCCAGCAAAATGGTACTACACAAACTTTTACTTTTATTGTTTTTGAGGAATCTTGGGGCAAGACCCAGTGGCTATTTCTGGCTCTGTACTCAGGGGTCACTCCTGGCAGTGTTCAGGGGACCATATATGGTGTTGGGAATCAAACCAGGTTGGCTGCATGCAAGGCAAGTACCTTAATTATCTCTCCAGCCCCCTACAAGAGGTTAAGAAAAAAAAGATTCTTGGACACTGCCAGGGTGACCCTAGTAGCCTGAGCACCAACCATGAGTCCTGCATCAGGAGAAGGAAAATTACTGGGAGTTACCCATGAGTCTCCATGCACCACTGGAGAGGACTCTCCAGAAAAAAAAAATAAAAGTGAGCATTCATAGCAGTGAAGGTGGAAGAGTGTGGGAGGGATGGCCGGAGCAGAGCAGGGCGGGAAAAAATCTGTTCTTCTAATGAAGCTCTGGGTTCTCACCACATTTGGCCTCAATCCCCTGAGACACGTGGTTCTTAAAAAACATGTAAGGGGCTGGGAGATACATGGCAGTAAGGGTACATGGTAGACACGTACCTGACCCAGGTTCCATTCCCGGGACCCTCTGGTCCCCAGAACATTGCTGGGTACAGCCCTGGAGGCCCCCACCTCTGATGGGGTGGCCCGGTAACTGCCTGCACCCGAGGACCCAAGCAGTATTACATTCTCGGGCCCCTGTGTTGAACTGCCAGCGCCACTGGTGCCGAATCACCAAGGGGCTCCCTCAGGAGATCTCCTGTACACCACTTGGTAGGTCATCCCTCCCGCCCCCGCCAAAAAAAAAAAAAATCCATATACCATTTCTTTTTAGACAATCTTATTCTAGTAGGAGCCACTTTGGATTTCCTAAGGTCCCCAATGGTGTCATCCAGGTTGTACTTAAGTAAAGGCGCCCCTTCACAGACAGTGCTGGTTATCCAGCCTGGGGCTCAGCCGACCGCACCTGGCTCTCTGCGTGTAGAGCTGCGGCCAGACAGAGAGGCGGAGTGGAAGAGACCGAAGCTTTGAGCTGGTCTCTGCCAACTCCTTGCCTTCCCTCCAGCCCTCTGTAGTTGCTGCTTCAGCCCAGCTGTTTCTCCCCCCCCCCCTTTTTGGGTCACACCCGGTGAGGCGCAGGGGTTACTCCTGGCTCTGCACTCAGGAGTTACTCCTGGCGGTGCTCAGGGGACCATATGGGATGCTGGGAATCGAACCTGGGTCGGCCGCCTGCAAGGCAAATGCCCTACCCTCTGTGCTATCGCTCCAGTCCCAGCCCAGCCATTTCGATACCTGCCTCACTCCAATTTTCTAGGATACTTCAGCCTACAGCACGTTTTTCTTCTTCTAAAATGTCTTTGGTTTTTAGTGTGGAGGAGGTGTGGAAGAGACACACACAGTTGTGCTCAGGGCTTTCTCCTGGCTCTGCACTCAGGGATCACTCCCGGAAGGCTTGGGGGACCATGTGTGGTGCCGGGGATCGAATGTGGGTTGGCTGCGTGCGAGGCAAATACCTGCTGTCGTGGCTCCAAACCTATCTGTGTTTTTCCCTACTTTGGGGGCCACACCCAATAATGCTCAGAGCTGACTCCTGGCCCTGCACTCAGGGATCACTCCTGCTGGTGCTCAGGGGACTATATGGGATGCTGGGAATCAAATCCAGGTGGGTCATATGTAAGGTAAGCTACCTACACACTGTACTATGGCTCTGGCCCCCTAAAACATCTGTGCTCACAGCTTCCAGTGTTCTCCACTGCCTATGGAGACCAGTGTGAACCCCACTGTTGGCCGTAGGCACCAGCCCCATTCTCCCTCTGCCCTACTCACTGCTCTTCCCACAGCCCTTGTTCCAGCCCGGCTCGATGGCCTGCTGAGCCCTTAGCTTCCCGGCCCCGTTCCCACCACTGGGAACCATTGCTCCACTTTCTAAGTCTTCCACTCATCAGCGCCCAGCCCAGGCCCTCTCCTCGGGGACCGCTCCCCAGTCTCTCTCTCTCTCTCGGGCCTGTCCGCCCACTGACTCTGCGACGACAACGTCCCTCTGCTCTGGGCCTCTGTGACACGCGCACAGCAGGATCCAAGCACCCTGCGATTCAGTCCAAGGCCCCGTGTGCTGCCAAGGCTCTGCTCTTAGAAGAGCGCAGTCAGCACTTACTTGTGGGGCTTTCATCCTAGCAAAGCACAACTCGCAAGAAACGATGACAAATAGCGACCAATTATTGACTATTTATGATGGGTCGAGCACTAGGAATCATTTCATTTAACCTGCTCGATAACCTACAGCAAGGTACCTTTAATCCCAGTTATGAGGGAAAAACAACAGTTTACAAGGGTAAATCATTGGCCCAAGGTCACACAGCTAAGAATGAGCTCAGTTAGGAACCCACTCCAAGTTTATCTAAGTCCACGTTCATGAACTTTCTATTAGGTCACGTTACCTCTGGAGAAGATGAATCTAGTGCCCTATGGGGCTGGAGCAATAGCACAGTGGGTAGGGCCTTTGCCTTGCACGCGGCCGACCAGGGTTCGATTCCCAGCGTCCCATATGGTCCCTCGAGCACTGCCAGGAGTGATTCCTGAGTGCAAAGTCAGGAGTAACCCCTGTGCATTGCCGGGTGTGATGCAAAAAGCAATAGGTAAAGGTAAAGGCCCTCCCGTTGTTCATCGATTTGCTCGAGCGGGCCCAGTAACGTCTCCATTGGAGACTTTGTTGTTACTGTGTTTGGCATATCGAATACGTCACGGGGAGCTTGCCAGGCTCTGTCGTGTGGGCGAGATACTCTTGGTAGCTTGCCGGGCTCTCCGAGAGGGGCAGAGGAATTGAACTCGGGTCGGCCATGTTGGCTGCATGCAAGGCAAACGCCCTACCGATGTGCTATCGCTCCAGCCCTGGAGCAAAAAGCAATAAATAAATAAAATTTAGGGGTGGGTGTCCCAGTATACATTTAAGTAAAAGTAAATGATTTAAGGCTAATCTTCACTTCACGGTTTTCAGCAGTCCTGGGGGAAAGATGGGGTGAACTCGGCCAGTTGTGGGGCTCCAGGGTGGAGCCTGCAACAGGGACTGATCAGGGCAGAGGCAGCTGCAGAGCCTCTGTCAGCGCTCACGGGCTCTGTGGCCGTCCTGAGGGGCCAGGGCGATGAAAGGTTCCTGCTCCAGGCCTGGGGGCAGGGCTGCCTGGTCGGTGGCAGAGAGAAGCACAAATTGGGAAACAAGAAGGAGCTTCTCCTCTCCCTGTCCAAGCTGGGGTCCTGCTGACCTCAGAACACCCCGCTTACAGCCCCGGAGCTGCTCCTGCTCCTCCCACCCCAGTTCTCCCCAATCCTTGGGGCTTCCTGGCAGAATGACCCCAGGCCACGTCTTAACTGAGGCAGGATCCGCTCCAGGCCTGGTGTCCCGGTGAGGCAGGTCCAGCCAGATGACTGTGGGCAGGCAGAGGCGGGTGTGGGGGAGCAGTGCGCCTTCCCTGACCCAGTGACAGGGCTCCACCCCAGCCCCAGGCCAAGAGGAGACTCCGCAGTGGCCAAAGGGGCCTCGGGAGCTGGAAATCACTGCACTTCCAAGCCTCCGCCCGTCCCCCCACACACTCCAGCACAGACTTCCTGTGACGCCAAGAAGAGACACCAGAATGAGGTGCACCAGGGAGTCTTCATCTGTGTCTGAGGTTCAGGACGGCGGAGGCCTGCATGGAGGGCAGCTGGGAGGGGCTGGGGAAGGAGGGAGCCAAGACACGAAGGACAGGGGACAGACAGCGGGAGGGTGCCCACCTGAGGGAGGGAGCCTGTTGTCAGCTGCAGCTTCTGCTGAAACAGGGCGCTCAGCAGCTGGTTCTGCCGCTCCAGGTCAAACACCCTCTTCTTGAGTTTGATGCACTCCTCCCGCAGGTCCTGCACGGAAGGAAGCACCGGAGGCGGCGCAGGGAGGCCGCTGAGCGGCGTCCCTGGGCAAGCTCCTCCCGGCTGGGCTGCGGGGTGTGTGGCTACCCTGTCTTAGGGAATGGATGGGAAAGTCTCCGGCACGCCCCCACCCACCGCCACCCCGTGGGAGTCAGTTCACTCCCTTTGGCTCCGTTCCCAAGCCCTGGAGCCGACTCTCTGCCTCCAAGAACCGCACACCCGAGAGAGGTCTATCTAGGGCAGAGAAAGGCCTGGGGTCCGAGTGGCTTCCCAGAAGCAGCAAGGATTTAGACAGCAGCCTGGCCTTGGGGCCAGAATAAGGGAGGGATTCAAGTTCAGATCAAAATTATTCTCATGCAGAAACTTGGCCTTAGCCGCCCCCTTCCAAAAGAACAGGGAAGCAAGGCCTGGTTGGGGGGCTAGTAGGCCCCCTCTTTTATTTTATTTTTTTGCTTTTTTGGGGGGGTCATACCCGGCGATGCACAGGGGTTACTCCCGGCCCATGCACTCAGGAATTACTCCTGGCGGTGCTCAGGGGACCACATGGGATGTTGGGAATCGAACCCGAGTCGGCTGCGTGCAAGGCAAACGCCCTGCCTGCTGTGCTATCTCTCCAGCCCCAGGCCCCCTCTTTTAACCCCTAGTGAGCAGGCTGGGGGCTCCCCTGGAAGCACGTCCCCTGATGTCACCAGGGCCTGGCTCTCTCCCGGTGCCCGGGGGCGACAATGCCTCCAGATGGTGGCTCACCTTTTGATTCAGCAGTGCTTGCACCACGTGGTTGGCAACCTGAGGACAGAAAGTCCAGGATAGAGCACTGGGTCTCAGTCCAGAGCAGAAAAGCCCCTCCGCCCCACTGCCCCTGGCAGACCCTGTCAGGCCCCACAGACCTCATCCAGACAGCGCTCATAGGTTTCCCGCTGGTTCTCATTGGCCTGGGCAAGAGCCACGTTCTCCGCCTGCAGGAGGGAGGAAGGGGCTGAAGTGGCCTAGGATCCTTCCCCTGGGCAGGGAGACACGGTGCCTGCTGACCCCTCTGCTCCAGCTCGGGGTTCTGGTGGGATTCTGCTGTGGGGTCAGCTCTGGAAGGGCCAGGGCAGCCAGAGGCAAGGCTGAGACGGCTGGGGGGGACCAAGTGGGAACGGGCAGGGTAGGTCAAAGGGCAGGGCTCTTGACCCTCATCTCTGGAGCCCCACGGCATGCAAACCTTCTCCCCCCCCCCCCCCCCCCGCCTCTCCATCACCCTTTTCTCCAGCCATCGGGGAGATGAAAGCGGGGTGAAGGGTGAGGGGAGACAGCAGGGAGACCTCTGGGGACAACTGTCATGCTCTCTCGCAACCTGGAGCAGGACCCCTGGCTGGAGACTGAGAACTTCTGTCCACAATGCTCCAGCCTGGCGAAGGGGCAGGGCCCCTCCAGCGCGCTCCCCAGGGTGGTCTGCGCCCACCTCCAGCTCCCGCAGCCGGTGCAGGAGCTCCTGGCACGTGCCCGGCTCTGTGGCGCCGGCACCGCCCTCTCCTGGCCTCGGCTTCCCAGGGCTCCCCGCCGGCTGCTCCATGGTGTCCGACGACATCAGACTGCACGCGAGAGAAGCCCCAGCAGGCTGGGCCTGGGAGAGCGAGCAGCAGAAGGAAAGGTCACAGGTCAGTGATGTTGGGGCTTGGGTCTGTCGCCCTGTGACAATGTAAGCTCAGGGACAGACTCAGGGACAGGCCCCTGTGTCTCTGCACAGAGACCCCGTCCCTCTCAACAACAGAGAGCCTTGCTGCATCAACTTCCGCATCCCCCTTTTTCAGAGGTCACACAAGACCTGAACTGCGTCCTCCCAAGTTTGGAGACTGGCCGCAGGCTGGTATCCAGGTGCCAGGAAAGATGTCCTTCCAGCGAGGCCCACGTTCCAGCCTCTCTCTGGGGTCTCTGCACGCTCCCCTAGACTCGGTCAGCTCCATCTACTCACTCTTCAGAACAGCCCACTCCCCTGCCCACCACCCCCAGACCCCAGACTGGCCATTCGGTGAGGACAGGGATGCCACATTCATTTCACTTTACTGTGTGCTCCCAGAATGTGAGATACACAGCAAGCAACACACACACACACACACACACACACACACACACACACACACACACACAGAGTACTGCCACAGTTACTGGCTGTACTTGACCTGTCTTCATTTCCCATTTGAGTTTCAATTTCTCTACTAGAGGAAAGAACTCATTTCCTTCTTCTGCACAAGTACCGTAGAACTTTTCTGTAGCTTGCAAGTCATTCCCCATGAAAAAGCGTGTTCCACCTTCACCACCTGCTGTCTCTGTTCCTGACCCTCTAAAACCCACACAAAACGGGCTCAGTGTTCGGGGACCAAGAAGAGCGGGGACCTCCTAGCTCCCAAAGCAGGCACTGGACTGTTTTAGCCTGCACCCCCAACAGTGGCTTCTCCCTCCAGCCCTCAGAGCCCATTCCTCGCCCGCCCCCCGGACCCCAAAGCCGCTCACCTGTCTTTGTCCCTCTCCCAGGCTGGCACGCTCACTCCAGCAGCCAGGACAGTCACCTTGTCTGTGGAGAAGCAAAAGAGAAGCAATGAGGCGCGTGTCCTATAAGCACGGAAACAGGCCCCTGCCTTGGGGCCTGGCAGTGATGAACAAGTGAAGAAAGCCCTGCCTTCAGGAAGTTTCCACTGGTCAGGGAGAGGCAGGTGACTCACAATAAACCAGGGAACACATTTTTTCAGGTCTGGGAAAGGATGAGGAGTGCTAGTGAAGTGAGACCCGCAGAAAAGGGAATGAAATCCCAAGTGCAGAGTGCAAACTGGAGAGCCAGTGTGGGGACCAGCACCAGTTGTTGCTGTTGTGGGGTCACACTTGAATGCACTCAGGGCTTAGTCCTGGTTTTGTGCTCAGGGCTGACACATGGAGGGTCTGGAGGTTCACAGCGGGTTCTGGGGACTGAACCCAGAGTAGGTTGAGTGCAAGGCAAACACGATTCACTCTCTACTGGCTCCACTCCCTTTATTTATTTTTGAGCCCGAGTTCTTAGCCTGAACCACTTGGGAAACAGATAGACAGAGGAACATATGCTTCTCTGCCCTTCCACACCATCTTTATTTTTTTTAATTTAAATTTTTTTTTCATTTTTGAGCCATGCCCGCAATGCTCAGGGGCCACCAAGGACAAAGGGTGGATGGGCGGTGGGGGACGGGAGGGGACCAAGACAATGGTGGTGGTGGACATGCTGGTGGAGGGTGTGGGGCTGGAATGCCGTATGAAACCCTATCATGGGAGCTCTCAGGGTCTGTATTGCAAGCCATAATGCCCCAAAGTAGAGAGAGAGTATGGGGAATATTGTCTGCCATGGAGGCAGGGGGAGGGTGGGAAAGGGGGGTATACCGGGGATATTGGTGGCGGGGAATGTGCACTGGTGGAGGGATGGGTGTTTGATCATTGTGTGACTGTAACCCAAACATGAAAGCTTGTAACTATTCCACGGTGATTCAATAAAATTTTTAAAAAAATCCTATCATGAACAGTATTGTAAGTTACAATACTTCAAATAAAATAATAAAATACACACACAAAAACAAGGTGGTTTTATTTATTTTTTGGAAGAAAAGGCCTGGTGGTACTGGAGTACTCCCTACTCTGTCTGGTGGTTGCTCCCAGCAGTGCTCAGGGGCCAGAATCTGGGTCTTTTGCAAGTAAAGCCTGAGTTCAGCCCACGGGGCTCTCTCTGGCTTTTTTTTTGGGGGGGGGGGAGGGAATTTTTGGTTACATCCAGTGATGCTCAGGGGTTACTCCTGACTCTGCACTCAGCAATTACTCCTGGCAGTGCTTGGGGGACCATATGGGATGCTGGGATCGAACCCCAGTCAACGGCATGCTCTATACAGCATACTCACTCTGGCCCCTCTCTCTGGCTTTTTGAGCACTCCTCAGCACAAGGGAATTGAGTGCTGGTATCCACACCCACACCAGAGAGTGGCACCACACCCCTCCCCTGGGGGCCGTGAGGTGTGCTGGCACTCTCTCATGAACACTCACATCCGACTACTTTGCTGGGGACACATCTCAGGTGAGGAAGCAGATTCGACAAGTGAAAGACACTGATTTCCAGAGCACAAGGGGACAGCCTGGATCTCCCGACTCTGTCTCTCTGTCCAGACGCCCTGCACAGCCCAGGGCTTCTGGAGCTCTGTGGATGGGCAGACCTTGGTAGAACCCTGACTACAAACTGTCCCCTCTATAAAATGGGGACAAGAACACTTCACCCAAAGAGTTGCATGAGATAACAGAGAGTGTCATGTATGGAATTCTGGACAATGAGGCTTTTTGGCTCTGGGGACTTTGCTTAGTGGAGAGCACCTGCCCTCCATGGGTCAGGTCACTTTCTGGGGCTCAATCCTGATACCGGCCCCTGCCCAGTGAGATCCCCAGCTGCACTGCAGTTCTGACATCCCTGGCATTGCCCCACGCTGGTGGGTGGCTTACCACCAAGCAGGCGACACCCAGGCAACAACCGAGGGGAAAGGGAAAGAAAACACCGTCAAGGGCGGCTTTCCACATGCTCCGAACTGACGGAGGCTCGGACCCTGGTGCGGCCACTTTTGAGCGCATAACAGCCCCTGTCCCAGGTGCTCCCTGCTCCTGTCCCTCTAGGCCAGTACTCCGGCCCCAGACAGCCCAGCCTGAGAGGCCAGAGGGGCAGAGAGAACATCAGAGAGCACTCATTTCTTCCTTAGTGTGCACAGTGACAGGGGCGGGGTCTGGGAACAAGAGGAAAAGGAAAAAACTGTATAATATTTATTTTTAAAACTTTGTGTTACAGTCCTTCTCATCTTAACATCATAAAAAAAGTGTATCAAGTATAACTTCCCTTGCTCGGAACATTATCATGTTTGATATATTTAGAAATTGATTTGAAATGCAGACAAAAATTCTCCTTCCCACATACACAAACAACAGGTTAAAAGTAGAGAAGGCCCAGGAAGACCACCGCCCACTCACAGGGCCCACCCTGCCCCAGAGCACTCTGTGGGGTGACTTCCCACAGCCAGTTATGGTCCCACTGACCCGGGAGGGCTGGCCTACAAGGACACCCAGCTTTTCCTTAATCCCCTCACTATTCAACACGCCGAAGGTCACTTCAAGAGGCAGAGGGGCTGCAGGAAGGCTGGAAAGGATGGGCGTGAGAGGGAAGGAAAGACATGAAGCTGGAAGTGGCTTAAGTATGTTTATTTTTTTTTTAAATTTTTTCTTGGGGTCACACCCGGCGATGCTCAGGGGTTACTCCTGGCTCATGCACTCAGGAATGACTCCTGGCGGTGCTCAGGGGACCATATGGGATGCTGGGAATCGAACCTGGGTCGGCTGCCTGCAAGGCAACCGCCCTACCTACTGTGCTATTATTCCAGCCCCCTGTGTGTTTTTTTTTTAAAAAAAAAAACAGCAATAGAAGTCAAACTGAGGGAAAGGTGGCCTAGGAAAGTCTCTTTTCCTAAAGGAAAAAAGAAAGAAAGAAAGAAAGAAAGAAAGAAAGAAAGAAAGGACAGACAGACAGAAAGAAAGAAAGGAAGGAAAGACAGACAGACAGACAGAAAGAAAGGAAAGAAAGAAAGAAAGAAAGAAAGAAAGGACAGACAGACAGGAAGAAAGAAAGAGAGAAAGAAAGAAAGGAAAGACAGACAGACAGAAAGAAAGAAAGAAAGAAAGAAAGAAAGAAAGAGAGAAAGAAAGAAAGAAAGAAGAAAAGAAATGTAAATAGCATCCAGGTTAGGTGTGAAGCTTCAGCTTGTGAAGAGAGTGAGGGGACTGTGTGGGGGAGGCTGGGACCTCACTGACCAAAGTCACCCTCCCACTGTGGGCTCCAAGAAAGGCAGGAAGGCCCGAGTCCCCTGTGACCGCTCTGTGCCGTGTCCTGATCTTTAAGTCTCCAGCTGGGCCCTGAAGAGGCTCCAGAAGTGTCGGCCCAAGGCAGGCTGTGACTCAGCCCCTCTCAGAGAGGTTTTTGCTACAGCCCAGAAGGCCGTCCAGCCAGGCCTCATGGAGGACAGGCAGAAACAGTCTCCACAGTGTCACCCTCAGGGGAACAGGCTGCACTTGACCCTGGCTGAGGCCAGAGCAGTCTCTTAGCATGACCAGAGGCTGAGTTCAAGGTTTCTGGGGTGAAAACTACCCACAGCCCCTCTCCCATCACCGTCACCCTGTCTTCTTGGTCAAATCAACACCTCCCAGTCTGAGCTTGATTAAGAACTTGAGGAGGAAATGTCAGGGGGAGGCGGCTGTGGGGCAACCCCGGAACAATCTGGAGACCCTGGAGGAGGGGGTGGTGCGGCTGCTCTTGCCGCAAGGGCCTTGACCGTGTGGTCAACTCCTGTACGTCCAAAAAAGTGCAGGAAAAAAAAAATAAAGTTGAAAAAATAAAAAGAATTTAGTTCCTCTAAGTCTGGGGTTTTGGCCTAGATCTGTGAGAAAAACACAAAATGGTCCCAGTGGTTGTCTCCACTGGGTGTGGGGGCCCCCCTCTCCTCAAGTGCACCCCCCTGTCGACCCCCAGCATTCTTACTCACAGTTTTGGTGCTCAGCCTGACCCAATGGATTTCGGGGTGACCCTGGCGTTGGGTCCCAAACACCTCAAGGCTGGCGGCTGTGGAGTCTGGAGCACATGATGCCAGCCAGGCTGGTCTGGGGGCGCAGGAGGGAGCGCTAACTTGAACGGGAGGAGTCTCCCGCCAGAACTGCCCGCAGGCAGCCCCGCCCCCCACAAAGGCCTGATTCAGAGGGAGGTGACCTCAGTGGCGGGAGGGGGGAGGGCGGGGAGGGAAGAAGGGGGGGGGGCCCAGGGCGCCTTAGCAGAGTGCGGGCAGGGGGAATGGTCTCTGGGGGAGCTGGGGACTTGCATCGTTCAGCCCAGCACTGAGTCAATCTTCGTGACCACGGTCTGTCTGTCTCTCCCACCAGCATCAGCCAGGGAAGACCCCCGAGAACTGGCCCCCCCCCCACCCAGTCAGGCCACCAGCGAGACCCACGCTGAGCTGAGTGCAGGCTCGGAGGAAGGGGCTGAAGGGGGCAGAAACTTCTCTGGGCTCTGGGCCAAGGCTGGAGGCCTGAAGAGCCCCTCACTCACCAGCTGTTCCCCCCAGAGTCCTCTAGGGAGAGCAGCCGGGCGGCGGGGGAGGGGTGGGCTGCGGGCAGGCAGACAGGGAAAACAGAATCTCTGCCCGCCCCCTGCCCAGCTGCTTTCTGGAATCCCTGTCACACCGAGGCTCCTTCTAAACAGCAACTTCCGAACCCCAAACAAACACTCCTTCCCAGCTAGAGCAGCCTGGGCCCTGACGGGGACAGGCTTCAGCACCGGGCCCCTCCCCCCTCCAGTGGCCACCACCGAGCCACAGCATCCCCTCAGTCAAGGCCCTGCCCCCTCCCCCCGCAGGGAAGGGGGGCAGACAAGTTTCCTTCCCTCCCTGACAACTGGTCCTAAGACACAATAGCTCCTCTGATGCCTGATACCCACGTGGAAGGGGCCCGCTACCGTCCCCTGCAACTTCCCCTTCACAGAACCTC